CGCCTCCTCTCCGACCACCCCTCCTTGCTCCACCGCGGATTAGATCTGGATTATATAACACAAACCACAAGTGACAAAATGAATTATCCACGTGGACCGGCAGCGAATATAGACAAACCCGCGGTGGCACGCCGGAAGATCACGGGATTGTTGCTTGCCGGTAGTCGTAACAACAAACTGCGCCCGGACCTCTGCCAGATAAATGACCCGGCCCACACGTCGAGGACGCCACCACACCGACCGTATCACCACCACTAAGGCTAGCGTTGGGCTTCTATCCCGCGCCATCACACTTCGGCTGTTTACGGATTGTACCTGTGGCAAGGTACGGTTTATACTTTCCCGTTCGGCCACAGCACTCCAGGCACGCTCGAGGGTCCGTTGCCGCCTAACGGCGAACGATGGTGACGTCGGAGCGACAACGCAGTGCGCATGCGGCGGCCACTGGTAACCCGACTGTGGGGGCACTCGGTCGGTTTGGTTTCGACCGGGCCGACCCGGACTCCTAACGAGCGAACGATGGAAAACCGGAGGCGGCCGCATCCGCTCGCGTCAGGACGCGGCGCCACACGTGTCCTGTCTCCAGCTGGTGTGTTAAGCCCTGGATTAGGCGCGCACCACGACGCCCGGAGCAAACACCGCGCTGAAGCAGGGGCGACCACACAGGACCCCACCTAAAGCGGTTGGTTATGGCTACTCGGCGTCTCCGAGGTGTTCGTGGGCTGTGTGCCCGGGCAGATCTTGTTTTTTTACGCCGAAACAAACAAACACCTGCCTCAAGTCGGGTGAGCCGGCGGTCTTCGGCTGCTGAACAAGCAAGTTTGAATTCGGGTAACCGGGTGTAGAAAGGGTTGTGTTTGGTCCGCGGATCGCTCGGTCTTAGCGGTATCAGTGGATTGAGTATTTGTGCGTCTGGCGCTTTGTTTGCCACGACGACAGGACGTCGTGCGCCAGTGACGATCGATCCAGCATGCTCCAAGTCCGCTGTCGTTGAGGCACCAGCCTTCGTGCAACCCAAGGCACCGGCCCCGAACACGCCACAGGACCCTCGGTCTCGCGCCTAAACCACTCTCACATTACTCCATCCTAACTCTCTTCACATCACAATACGTACTCACTCCAATGAACACAATCCTGCCCCGTGGGAATGTCCAACTCGTTCTCTGATGCCATGGACAAGATAAATATATGTCATGTGTGCAGAACATTCACAGTGTAATCACGAGATAAGTAAATTTCGGGTGAGCCTAGCTGTAAAGAGTCGCCCAAGCGGTTGTCTGTCTGTTCGCACTTGCTCAAGCCTGAGGGTCGTAATGTCGGTGGGTCTCTACCTTTGTGTTGGTCGTGCAGCGGCTGAGGTCGGGCGACGGGCGTGGGGCGGCTCGTCCGGCAGCGCTCTGCTGAGCGCCAGGTGGCGCCTCCTTCGCCGCTCTGCGGCGTGCTTCGCATCTCACTCTTCTGCTTCATGTCGATCGGCGTCTGGAAGAGGTCCCGTATGCTCAGACGAGTGGACTCCGCCTGCAACGACGCGAGAGCCTTCACACCCGGCCAGCGGCGTAGTTGACGACGGAAGTAAGTGTACGGTAGGAATGAGGAGAGGCAGGGGGCTGCGAGGGTTCTTAAAATTAGTCTGTAACATGAACCATTCTCCTAAACCGTCGACATCACCTGTTGTGTTTCGTATGTATCGGAAATGGCACGAGGCTTTCATTCTCGTAACGCTTCTGCAGGGCCGTTGTTTGCGCTGCTCGAAACCGCTTCTTGGGCAACCGGGTCTAAGAAAGAAAACAAAAAATGGTTCCACATTTTTGCACGGCAGAAGACTAATGGTAAGACCATTTGTGTCTACAACGGGACCAGGCATACACGCACAATAGAAACTCGAGAGATCGATCGCATTTAATCGATTAAAATTGGAGGGTGGTGCGCTAGGGGCTTTACACCTGCCACGCTGCATTAACCAAGCACGCATCCTGGCGGGAAGAGATGTGAAAATACTCCTGATGAAGCGCTATGATATATATACGTAATTCATACGTAGATTGTGATCTAAATCACGCCAGCGTTAGTATATAAGCATTCTCGCGAAGGTATGTAAGCGGCGAGTGTTGGCTCTTAGGTTGTCTGGCTCGTAGCAGGGTGCGTTGCTTGAATCAGTGGGCTCCGAGTAGGGTTAACATCCCGGATTATAGTAGATTAGCGCCAGGGGATATGTGTGGGATTCAAACTAGAAAATGTTGGTGAGTGAGTATCGATTCAGATTTGAAATGGAATTTTTTTTAAATTCGACTCTTGATGGGAAATAATATATAAGGGCCTCACCACGATGCCACAAATACGTCTAGGTTGAATCATTCATGATTTGCGTCACATAATTACAAATGAGGCGATGAGAGATTATATAGCTATAAGTATTCGCGACTACGATAACATGGTTATAATTTATATATATATATTATATATATATTATGTAGTTTACATATGGTAATGACTCCAATATACATCTATGCATAGAAATTCGCTTTTCATTAGGGTATATAACCGCGATATAAAGGCGGCGTAGGCCGACACTCAACGAAACAGACCACGCACCGAGACGCTCGCTTGGAAACTCTAACGCGTTAGCGCAGTTATTTCCATCAGACACAACCCAAATACAATACGAGTACTAGATACGTCACACACTAATTTAATTTAAGGCCTAAATACACTAATACATGCTTTCTTTTGAAAGACATTCCTCTCACTATAATTAAAAAGGCATGAAGTACAATGACGCATTTGCGCGATCTAACGTGGTATGTGTGGACGGAGGCCCGAATGTAGCGGGGAGTGATAAGGCAGCATGTTATTTTGGGAACGGGAGTCTTATACTCACACTCCAACCGCGTGTGGCGGGCGTTTGACCGGAGAATCAAGGCCGTCCTGACGAGTGGCGGCTCTACCGCTCCTCGTTCAACGGTGTTCGACACGGAGTTTACGTGTAGCGTCAGTTTTTCTTCTGACAGGCCGACGTAGCTGTATTATGCAGGGTTTCTCTTTCTCGCTCTCTCTCTCTCTCTTTCTGTCTGTCTGTCTGTCTGTCTGTCTCTCTTTCACACTATCTATCACACTATCTCTCGCTCGCTCCCCTTCCCCTCTCTATGTCCTTGCTGTCAACCTCGTTATCTTCACCCCATCTCTTTCTTTTGCACCCTTATCGTGCTTTCTTTTTCTTTCTTTCTCTTTCTCTCTCTCCCTCTCTGTCTGTTTTTCTGTGTCTCTCTCTCTCCATCACAGCCGACGGCTAACCCCGGCCCGCACGCGCTGTTTATCACACAGGGCCGATGCACCGCCACTGAAACGGACTGCGCATCGCGCGATTCTGGGAAGCTTTTGGAAATCCGCCCCCCCCCACACACCCACACACACCTCCCACCCGGTTGTTGCTGCTTCTTCTGTTGCTGCTGCTGCTGCTGCTGCCGGCGGCCGTGCGGGCGTCACCGCTTCTCAGGCGTGCTCGTTTAACGCGCACTGCTGAACATTGCGTATTGCCTGCGAATGTTGTGTATGTTCTTGTCTCTGTAGCGGCAGCGGCAGCGGCAACACCGCCACTAGCAGCAGCAGCAATAGCAGCAGCAGCAGCAACAGCACCAGCAGCACTAACATAATGGCGTCTCATCGTCATATGCCATCTGTTGTGTATCTCAATAAACAACTCGGAAAGTACTGGCGTTTTGTCATTTGCTAGCCGGAGGCAGCGATGTATCTATCCAGGGATCTAATCCCGCTGGCATAGATTCACTCCACTGCCACATAACAACGACCAAACGGTTTAGTTCGCGCGAAAGTACTTATTGAGTCGTGTAAAACTGCCGCTGTCGACGTAAACAGACGTCATCGGTGTCTACCTACGTGATCACGTTAGCTGCTTGCAGCACACTCGTTACGAGGCTGATAGCTGTCGGTGCAGCAGCCCTATCCTCTACGTAACGACACCATCAACAGATTTCTACAGGGTTACAGCGGGCCGTACATGAATAACACACTGTTATAGTATAATATAAACATAAATATAACATATATGAACGCATATACTGTGTGGTGTAGGTCACGTCAATGTGTTAACAGACGCAGCTGTGTCTAATAAATCTGTATCTAAGACGCAGCCTGTTATCTAAGAAATCTTTTGTGTAATCAGCTACCTGCAGGTTTATTCATTCCCCCCCCCCCCATTCCCATCTTCGACGATTCGGCACGAAATTACGAGGACAGGCGATTTGCAAAGAGCTGGAGTATTACGTCGGTAATTACTCTGCGTATGGCTTAATGTTTTTGCCTCGCTTGTCCCGCAGCGATCGTCGAGGGAGCTGACCAGGAAGACGCATTCCAGCCACACTTCCCGCTGAAGCATCAGCAGAAGGACCTGCGTCTGGCCATCGCCATGGGAGACCAGGTCGATCAGCCTCTCCCTGTCACCGCGTCGTCGAACGAGGTACGCGTCTACACTCGACCTGCCTCTGTCACTTTATCACTCTCTCTCTCTCGCGCGCGCTCTCTCTCTCTCTCTTTCACTCACTCTCTGTCTTTATCTCTGTCTCTCTGTCTGTCTGTCTCTCTCTCTCTCTCTCTCTCTTTGACCATGCACGTGTTGCTGCGCACCGTGTGGGGGCGCTGCCATAGATATCCCATTATACAGTATATATATATAGATAAATGTAGTGGCATATAGTTTATATTACTGAGCTGTGTATAATAACATTATAAGATTATATAACATGTACGTATATAATGTTATTATATACAGCTACGTATATATCTGTACGTAGATATCTGTACGTAGATATCTGTGGACGTGATTAGGTTTGTGTGCTGCAGTGTTGTTCATGGGTGTCTCAGTGGGGGTTCACTTGGGTTGTAGCGTGTGTATGCACATTGTAGTGCATGAACATCATAATCATCACATACAGTGAGACCTTGAAATGTGTTACACGAAGGTAGCACCTGGCTTGAAGGCATAGTAACCTTAAAAAATCACACTATTAAACATCGTATTTTGAAAGATCAGTCTTGTTGCTAGAACAAGTGCAAAGCGTCGGCAGCAATGCGGTTTAAATGAGAGAAAAAACCGCCGTCGTAATTCCGTGAGAATTTCGAAAACTTGTAATGTAAAATGCCGCGTGTACATTTTCAACGTGCGCCCCCCCCCTTCCCTCACCGGCAGTGTTTCACGGTAAGGAACTAGATGATTATTGTAAAGGAGGATGGGTGGGGCAGCTCGCGTGTGTATATACGATTATCGTGACTTGCCTAAACGCATTGTTCATTCGCATCTTCTGTGGCATGTATTTTCGCAGCTGTTCAAGAGAGCGCGGAGCCTCGGATACGGAGATCAGGACATGGCGGCCGTCTACAAGGCAACGTTCTTGTGATCGGCTCTGGCTGGCACGGACCCCGAGAGCAGGAGAGCCGCACGATACCAATGCCATTTATTCCTTTACATTGAATTAAAAGTAGCGAGTCGTCTCGAGAAGGTGCTGATTGACAAATAGTTTGTCGTCGCCACCCAGTAAAGCGCGGAATCCGTGTGACGGTGCCGCAAGTCCCGAGAATAATTTCAACATCCACTAATTTATACGTATAGGGGATCGTCTTAGACTGTCGCTCACGCGTAATCGGTCTGTAGGATCGTTTACCCCTCCCACTCTTGACCCCCCCCCTCCATAATGAGTGGATACGTAGAATCGGCTTCGTTTTCGAGTCGAGCATTGCATCGTAGTAGGGAAACGTTTAGCGTATTTGCGGTTAATGATATCAGGAGTGAATAATAATCGAGGAGTGTGACTCGCTCGAAACACAAGAAATTCAACATTTCCATGCCCTAACTTATCTATGATTTATTAGGTGAAATAGTTAGTTGCAAATCCCTGCCGAACCCTGCCAACAGGTGTCGCAGAGCGAGCTGCCTCTTGTTCCCGCAATTGCACGGAAATGATCGCCAATTTACCATGTCAATGACTAAAACCATGTCTGACGTTCGAAGCTATTATGAAGAGGTATCGATACAAAGTAAAGTGTGAGGGCAAGTTGGATGTACAACGCTAGTCCTGATGTCAGGTTTATTGCGTTTCGCGTAATAAATCATAGGTCAATTAAGGCATGGAAATTTTGAATTTCTTGTGTTTCGTCCAAGTCATACTCTTCTATTATTATTCACTCCTAATGATATCATGAATCATTAAAATGACCGCACTCGCTGTCAGGTTGAGTGAGCCAGCACCGAAGAAATGAGAATCATAATGTACATAACTAATACACGTCCCCTTCTATCTGTCGTCCATAGTGTTTGTACGCATGCACCTATCTATCCCGTCGTCGGTGGAAAACGAAAACGCTTGCAGTGACAGTGTTGTCTTTATTAGAGCTATAAGATCATCAACATCAAATGTAAATAAAGCGTGTGCAGAAGAGAGCATAACCCAACAGTATGCCGAGCCTGCCCGGGCCGTGGTGTCCATGAGCTGAGAAAGAACACGCGTCCTCCATCTGCTTGCAGTGTGTGGTGCGCAGAGAAAGGTGCTGATGCGATGCAGCCACCGCATCTGCAAAGTCACGTCTCTTTGCGGATCTAAACCTATTCCGGATCTGGAGCGTAAGGATGGTGCATTAGCCACGGCACTGTAATGATTGCGTGCTAACACTGTAATGATTGCGTGTTGCATCTGGCACTGTAACCAAGGGCGGTGTGTTAGGTCGAGATCTTAAAAGAATTGTGTGTTAGGATCAGCACTGTAAGGATTGTGTGTTAGGGCCAGCACTGTAATGATTGTGTGTTACGGCAGACACTGTAAGGATTGTGTGTTACGGCAGACACTGTAAGGATTGTGTGTTACGGCAGGCACTGTAAGGATTGTGTGTTACGGCAGACACTGTAAGGATTGTGTGTTAGGGCAGGTACTGTAAGGATTGTGTGTTAGGGCAGGCACTATAAGGATTGTGTGTTACGGCAGGCACTGTAAGGATTGTGTGTTACGGCAGGCACTGTAAGGATTGTGTGTTAGGGCCAGCACTGTAAGGATTGTGTGTTAGGGCAGGCACTGTAAGGATTGTGTGTTAGGGCCAGCACTGTAAGGATTGTGTGTTAGGGCCAGCACTGTAAGGATTGTGTGTTAGGGCAGGTACTGTAAGGATTGAGTGTTAGGGCAGGCACTGTAAGGATTGTGTGTTAGGGCCAGCACTGTAAGGATTGGGTGTTAGCTCTGTTTCAGTAAGCATGTGTTGGTGATGAAGATATTTGTAGTGTGAGTGCTGAACTTGCAACAATTCTCTCCACATGACTTTTCCACCGCGGTATCGCGGAGCCCAGTAAATAATAACCCGTCGTATGCCAAGTCACCTCTGGTTTATGTACTACAGAACGATCTCCAACAGGTTGCTGTGCAGGGTCACTACCGTGTTTCTGTGAAGCACAAACGCTCTCTCATCCTCTCTTTCTTTCTCTCCCCTCTCACATCTCTTCCTCTCTCTCTTCCTCCTGTCTCTTTCTCCCAATTCCTCCTCCTGTCTCTTTCTCCCAATTCCTCCTCCTCTCTCTCTCCCTCCCTGTCTTTCTCCCTTTCTCCGTCGCGCTCTCTCTCTCTCTCTCTCTCTCTCTCTCTTCTCTCTCTCTCTCTCTCTCTCTCTCTCTCTCTCTCTCTCTCTCTCTCTCTCTCTCTCTCTCTCTCTCTCTCTCTCTCTCTCTCTTCTCTCTCTCTCTTCTCTCTCTCTCTTTCTTTCTCTCTGTGTCTGTCTGTCTGTGTATCGTAGGTGCCCGTTTAGTGCCATTTGAACTGATGGCAGAGTACTTAACTTGTGTAGTGCCAGACTTCATACAGACCCTCCTATGAGGAACAGCAGCGCTACGGTTTCTACTCGACAGTCTGTAATGAGATCGCTTATTGCCGGAACTTGGTACTGATCAGGTTTCAGAGGAATGAATTTGATTCCAAATGATGTGTTTATTTTGTTGTTGTAGGCATTCGGCACTAGATTTAATATTTGTTATGTTGATGTACCGAAATCGACGGAAGGTCAGTCTCCGTTTATCCTAGAAAGCCGTAATTCCACGTACTGTTGGGTCACGCTATCTGTACGAATCCGAATTTCTAGAGGCCGCATATATTTTTAGACTAATAGTTTACCACCATCTATGTCGAGTGTCCTTGCATTCTTGCTGCAATATATTATCGATATTTGCGGTGAAAAATATGAGGGTTAGTACGATCGTGTTCGCTGTTAACCTACCTACATGTTTTAAACCAGTATGTATGTATGTATGCGTGCGCGCGTGCATAGGTGTGTACGTGAGTGCGTTCGTGTGTGTTTACGTGTGAGCGTGTGTGTTTGCGTATGCGCGCGTGCGTGTGTGAGTCTGCGCGCGTGTACGTGCGTAGGATAGAGTGTGCAAGTGCGTGCGTGCGGCGTGCGCGTCTGCTTGTCTGCTTGCTTGTGTGTATGTGACATCCTTCTCTTTTATCAAAGGGGAGATACAATGAGACTTAACGGATACAGTGTATAGTGGTGGTAGGATATTATAGTGATTAGCACTCCCGTTCATGCTATTATTCTGTAAGTGAAAATGTTTATCGTATAGACGTATCAGTGCGACAATTGCTCTTAGTTTTAGCAGTTTTTCTCTCATGAATGTGGACCACGAACACGCTGATGATGGGCAACTGACAAACATTCGTAGGTTGCTTTCATGAAACCCGGACATCCCATCCGTCGCTAAGAAATATAATTCGTAATATCGTCATTAGCTATCGGTATTTTCTCCACAATATTGACAACCCAATGAACAGCAAGATCGGATTATCGCAAGTGAAATGGCTGTACAGATATTGGAAACGTATATTGTAGCTGATTATGTGTTACAGTCGATGATTATCATCAAACAGAAGGGCAACTCGTTCTAGAAATTCAATCGGATTATGTTTTGTAATCGTTTGTGGTTGTCACGTGGGTATTTGAGATTGTAACAGTAGTGTCCTGTTGTGGAATAGATGTCTCCATTAAACAAGGGGCTGTCTTACACACAGACTCGGCATCGCATTGGACTTACTACCCGTGGCATAGCTTGGTGAAGTGGAGTAACTCTCACTGGTGTATGTATTATGTTAGTGCGCGCATTCGCGCTCTCGGCACGAGCGTGCGGGTCATTCGCTGTTGCTGTTGAACACAAAGCTACCATTATCTGCCGGCTATCGCTAAACATGCCGGATGTCCTTCTGTGTGTGTGCGTGCGTGCGTGCGTGCGTGTGTGCGTACGTGCGTGCGTGTGTGTGTGTGTGGAGGGTGGGGTGTGCGTGCTGCGTGTGCGTGCGTACGTGCGTGTGTGTTGAGGCTATGTGATTGAGTTGATGGCAGCGTGGTGTTGAGTGACAACAATAACGAAGCGAGGTGGCGGCGGTGGCTGCGGACGACGACGATGATGATGATAATGATGGCGACGATGACGATGATGATGCCGCTTCTATCTCGACTCGATATTAGATCACTCGTTTGGTCATAATTCTCTCACGTGTGATCGTGGATCGAAGGCATGGCAAGTTTTGGCGATTGTCAACACATCTGTTTGCGTATAGTAAAAGTTTCATGCTTACATCTGAATGTTTCAATCGCCGTGAATCTTTCCTCGAGCAAAAAGAATTTACTGAGACCTCGGTTAACGATAAGTCGGCCTAAATATCGGCATTAACTCTGGCATAGGAGGACTTTTACGACTGAATGTGATTAAAATGCAATCAGTATAGTGGCTCTATAGTTTGCTTTGGCGTAATTTTAGTGATCAAACGCTCCCTGCTCGAATTCCCTGTCAAAAAATCGAATCGTCATCGTCGCAAAATGTGTGGCGTCATTGTTAGGAGATTTATTTGATATCATATGCTACGCAATGAAACTCGAAATTCCGTTTCTTCGATTGTAATAACGCATTCCCTTATCCGCGCCTGTTCTGTTGATCGTTATTGCAGTTCTATTATTACTACTATTATTATAGTAACGCTACTCACACACACATAAATATATATATATATATATATATATATATATAAAAATATATATATATATATATATATAATATCAGGAATCTATCTAGTCTATTGATAGACTCCTGATAATATGTAGCGTAAGAGTATAATAATAGTAGTAATAATAGAACTGCAATAACGATCAACAGAACAGGCGCGGATAAGGGAATGTGTTATTACATTCGAAGAAACTATATATATATATATATATATTCTTATGGATAACCTCTATTACTTCAATAAACTCGTGAATTTCAACTGTAATATTTGTAATGATGCATCGGTGCAGAATGTAACGTACTGGTATCTGTCTGTGTGTCAAACGATACTATAAACTCGACTGAGTAGTTGTTCCTTCATTTGTGTATTTTTTTCTGGTGCGAAATATTAATTTTGTTTGGAAATGAAATATACACCGTGTTCCTATTGTACCATTATGAAGCATTGTGAGTTATACTGTTACCATACTCCACACCTATCCGATAGACATCAGTGTTATGGTGACGGAGTCTAGGGTTACATAGTATCAGGTATGACGTATGACGTATGACGTATTTGTCATTATACGCTCCTGATAGTATTGACGTAAAACACGTCACTGACGTGTATCACTTGCTCTTTCGTACTAAATCCAATGCAGCCTTTTGTCGCGATGTGAAGCAGCAACCACTAGGAAAACCTTATTATTCACCGCTTTCAATTATGTGTGCTCGTCCGGGCTTTATGTCGATATGAAAATTAAGATAGTTTGTCGTTATCGAGTGTGGTTATTTTGTTTCAACCCATCAGCAGTTCATATAACATCGTGATTGCACCCTGGAGTTTCCTATTGTAGATTTATTACCAGGTAGATGTTTTAACGTACATTATTTTTAATAAATATGTAAAAAATAGCTACTTGTTTGTTCTACTTGTTTCAATGCTTCTAAGTAAACAATATCTGTACCAAATAGTGGTTGGTGTGATGATGTTGATGACGATGACGACGATGACGATGATGACGATAATGATGATGGTTACTACGATAGTGACAGTCAATAACGACGATGTGTATAATGTGACTGATTCAAAAACATGGAATTACAAATAATAAATAGTTGCACATACCCAACAACAATAAAACATATTTAAATAATACAGATTACTTTATTCGTTAATACAATCCTAGTTATAACATGGTTCGCACAGTCTTTGAAAGGTCCTTGAATTTGAGGGGAGTCCTTGAAAAGTACTTGAATTTAGTAAATGTTGATTTTGTGCTTGAAAAGTGCTTGAATTTCATGAAAATGTCCTTGAATTTTTAGAAAGAATCCTTGCCTGTAATAAAAAGAAATTTTGTACCATCAATAATGTGCAAACCTCAATAAAAATTGCGTTAAATGAGCTTAAAAAGCTATAGACACGATAGACAGTTAAATAATGATCATAAATTACAGTAAGTCAGTAAAATCAGTCAGTAAATCAAGGTATGTTGTAGAAGTGACAGTGTTTAGAAGGGTTTATTAATGTGATCCAGGTAAGTTTTAGAGGTGATATGCAGTGATTAAGAATGGGGTTATTAAATTAATCCAGGTATGTTTTGTTCTGTGTATGAATTCCGATATGTCTGATAAAATGACCTTGAATTTCCGATAAAATGTCCTTGAAAAGTTATTGGAAAAAATTTCAGTTCTCCTGTACGAACCATCATGTATAACTGTAGTTAAAATTAACATGGAAGACGTATAGTAACATAACTGTATATAGATGTGCTAATTGCTTTACTTGATCGAAACATGACAAGTTGAGGTTGTTTGCTATTTAAATTCTTTAAATTTTATTTTGGTCAAAATATAATAACTGATAATAATTACATTTATATTTGATCATTTCTTATTACTAATTTATGATTGTTATTAAATAATAAAAGTAACAAATCACATGTTGGATTTTATAGTTCGTAGAGTGCGTACAATGTATGACTGCTAATTTAAAGGCGATTTTATTTTTCATGAATAATGCCAACGCTTATTTAGTGACGCACAGCATCAAGCGAAATCAGTAAATTCATTCAATCAAAACTCATAAACATTTTTTAATAGACACATCAAATAAAAACGTCCAAACTTCAAACAAAAAATGTCAATTTTAACAACAGATCGAAAACTTGAAACCTAACAGACATAAGTTACCAATTTTACAAAAATTGCAATATTGAAATTGTAATAGCAAAAATAAAATTCCTGAATTAAAAAACTCAGTTCTAAATTTTACGTCCTGAAAACATTATTCTTTATTATACAAGCAAGCATGCACGGCCGTTCACACACGCACCTTTGTGTTCATGTATATCTAATATCTCCTGAATATATCGTAACGGAACGTTAAGTTAAAAAGAAGAGTAACTAGAAGGTATTTAGACTTCTTTTTGCGCGATTCGAGTTGTGTTCAGCTTCATTATCTTGTGATATTTCGCCGCACGCTCGTCTTCCGGTGACGTACCGGAAGAACGACTAACGCAGTATAGCCGCGTAACTATTTTCCGTTGCCTTATTTATGCTAATTGAATATTAACGCTAGATATAGGATTATATTAATGACTTTGGCCACAAAACGTTTACATATTTGGTTATTAGTATTTAATTTTGTCAGCGTGTGCTAGGGTAAGACTATTGGAAGTTGTGGAAAACTTGGCGGAGCGATATTGAGATCTATTTTATATAGACGTGCACTTGTAAACACGAGCAGCTAAGTGAGAAGGATTCTGTTAGATTTTGTGAATATTGTGTCGTTTTACCAACTTAAAAAATTCAGATCAACGCCATGTAGAACAATCAGAACATTTCCACGTAAAGTGGAAAAGGTACCGTTGATATTTCGTTGGAAACTGGCTGTTAATGGACATTTTGTTCTCACGACGTTTCCAGCTGTCTTTTCCCGTTCATTGTGACGGTGATACAAGAAACTGTTGTTTGTAAATGCACCTTTGGCAATCAGGTGCTCGTTTATTGTCTGTAGGAGGCATAGGAATCTACACACCTCAGGATGGCCGAACTAACTAGGTAAGAACCAAAAGTATTGCGGGTTATTGCTTAATATTATCACTAGTTGATCAAGGTGCCGGGGAGGAGCCATTGGCATTGAGACGCCATTTTTTGGTCCGTGCGAGATACATTGTCAGTCTTCGTTAGTGTGTTTATAGCTAGTACTAGTAGTAGTAACTGTTTTACATGTTAAAATTTTATGGTGAAATGAATATATAATCAGTAAACTGGTGGTGTTATAATATTGCATTGATGGGACTTCTAATGCGAATATTATTGCGTAACGTTTGATGTGCTTTTGATTTTCGACTCCTTTGATTTTATAACAACACTCAACAGCAGTGTCAGCACTCAAGAGTTGAATGTGTCATGAATGTTTTATCTGATTTGTGTAGAGTGAAATGTGAGCTGAACGAAATCACGCAAAAACATGGGCCAAAATTGGCAATGTTGAGTACTGGTATTCTGTATTGAGCGAATATATAGTTTCAACAAAATTAAACAATTTTTGCTAGAGATACGTTTACCACATAGTGACATATATATTGTTTAAACTTTAAACTGTATGTGATTATAATAGGGCTCATAGGGTCTATGCCCCCGGGGTACTGCCGGAACGTACCCTGGTAACTATCTGATATGGTTAGGGTTAGGGAGTAGGCGACTCCCTAGACTCGTTAGTGGAGTAGGCGAGGTACGGTCCGGCATATTATATAGTAGCAGGGTACGTTTCGGTATACCAGACCGTATCCAGGGTACGTTCCGGAAGTACCCTGGAGACATATACCCTCTCAGCTATAGTAGGTTTATCTAAATATCTGACATATATAATTTTTAGTTGTTGCTACTTTGTAATTCGTGTATATCAACATGTCAACCTCATAGACAACGGGTAAATTACTGTTGTCTTAGCCATCACATGCAAAGCAAGTGTGTTCAGTCACTACAAGAGTATCCCACCGACATAATAAGCATAACTGTATTGGGAGTGTCTATATTCAGGCCGGTACGGGAGATTACGGTACTCATATATTTGCTAATATATTGACTAATCGTGCGTCAATAAACTCAATATTCACAGAGAGTATAGCTAAGACATGTGTCTATAGGTATCTAGAATATATTATGCAAATGATCTCCCGTACCGGCTTGAATTCATATACTCTCTGTGAATATTGAGTTTATTGATGCACGATTAGTCAATATAGCAAATATATGCGCGCGGAAGTGAATTACAGATGATTAAATTTCTAAAATTCTAGATACCTATAGACACATGTCTTAGCTATACTCTCTGTGAATATTGAGTTTATTGACGCACGATTAGTCAATATATTAGCAAATATATGCGTACCGTAATCTCCCGTACCGGCCTGAATATAGACACTCCCAACTGTATTATGACATAGCATGTGAAACATAGTGGTGTCATGTGGTAGACATTTCAAGAGCTTGTTTACTCTGTAGGTCTATGTATTGCAGTGGTGGTTGTGTGATTCAAAAAATGCACATTAACATGCACTGACAAGTTTTTTTTATCTGGTACAGTGCACATCAGAATAAATGTTTTGTCATTTTTACATTTTTGTTGGGGGGGGGACAATATAAATAACCTATGTGTAATATACAAAATGGTTGTACACATAGGTTTCTGTGCTCTGCCATTTTGACCATAGTTTTGTACTACTGTATGAAAATACAGTTTTATCTGGTGATAAAGTTGCAGTTAACCCACCTATAGTACTTCGAGAGCAAGGTGGTCTGCTCAAAGTAAATATAGTGAATGCACTGGTAATGGTGCAAACTCGTGATATTCATCATCTTAAACAATTTTTGTTGTCATATGCATAAAAGCTTGTCTCGTGTGAGCTTTTTAATGAATACTTATCGCGGTGTCACGTTAACAATGTTCGTATTTCACCAATACTAAATATACCAAGGCTATCTAGTTCATACATGTAATCATGATTTTGCATTTTCTTTTATGATGGCGATGTTTATCGAACAATGTATATATATATATATACAGCCAAGTTGCTTGTTTTCAATGCTTCAATATAAAATGCCATTATTAAAGAACAAGTGCAAAATCACAGTTATGATTTAATAGGTCATTTATATTTAGTCTCATATATATATATGTGCAATAAATAATGCAGTGCGTTTTGCAGTAAGTGACGGAGTGATAGATTTTATTACATTTATATCTGTAGTACCAGATGTGTTTGAAACCAGATCACACCTAAATCCTGTAAAACGATATAAAAAGATGAATGGGCATTCTACTATGGCATGAGTAAGGGCACATAGTCAGAACGAGTTCATACATTAGAAAACAATATCTTTAATAAAGTTGCACATTTTCCACGGGTCAGTGGAAAATGTGTAAAGTGAGGTTTAAATGAAAAAATTATCAAAAACCAGTTGGATTATCAGGAAAAGCTTATCTGCAAGTGTGGTGGCATTTGCTAACGAGTATGTGCACTCTCCTAATAACGTGGTGTGTGTGGTATGTATACAAACAAAGATGTGTGTGGCCATACACTACCCATATTATAGTCCTAGGAGTTCTGCTCTGTCAGCAGAGGCAGTGTGGCTCTCTACGCGTATTACTTACTACCAGCTAGTTGCAGCGCATCGTCCACATACAGTAGGCAGCGCTCTGCATGCCAGACATAATTAACTGATCGCGCGTACAGTACGCTGCAGCTGAATAGACAGCACAGTATTTTGCTATATAAGCGTTTCTGGTTTTGGTGAAAGCTGGCCCGATGTGATGTTCTACGTAGTAGCTGCATCTGTGTGACAATACAGCGTCTGCAAATAGGAAGTAAAGGGTTAGCTGCAGTACAAACCAACGAACCACTGGGAGAT